GATGGAAAGTGCGGGGACAAGTGCCAATAAGAGAAGGTCCGGATTTGTTACCAAAAAACAAAAAGAAACTCTTGGTCGAATTTTTGCACAAATATCCGGCCCTTTTGTCGGGAAAATTTTCGAACTGCTTTTCATGGAAGGAATCTCGAAACATTCTTTTGAAAGTCGAAAGTTTTTTATAAATTCCCCGTCATTACCTAAGCATTGTTAATGCATGCATCTATTCTTGGATTTTTGAAGCCTTTGCGGCTATGGTTATACAATTCGGCCCTTTCTAGAACATTTAAATTAACAATATTTTCGAATTCCATGAGGCCAAGAATATTCTTGGTCGACTAAACTTAAATTTTTAATAAACTTTCGCGTGCAATTTGGAAATGCACGAGCTCTAGAGGTGACGCATGTCAAATGCAATCTTGCGTCGATGAATTTAGTGAAATGCGTCGACGAAAGTTTCAAATAAGCCACATGTGCATTTTTTTGTGTTTCACCGGTAAAAATTGCGACTTAGTCAGACGTATTTGAATTGCACGTTTCAAATAAACCCCCCCTGGTGCGAAGACTGGTGTTTTGACATTTTTTGACAAAAAATTTAAATTTTTGATTTATGAAATTCTCTCATTAAATACAACTCGTGCAATGGAAATATATTTATAATTTTCGACAAATTTGCACTCATGCGTTTTTAACTGAAAAAGGCACTCGTGCACTACGTGCACCCGTGCTCTTTTTCAACTAAAAATGCATTCGGGCAAATTTCCCAAAAATTATCAATAATTTCCATTGCACTAGTTATATTACTATTGATAATTCCCCAAGTCAAAAATTTAGTAACTATGTTGGCAACACAAGTCTTTTCTACATGAAAAATTTGAAAGCATTGACAATTTTACATTGTATTGCCAACCTAATGTCAGTTTGACTTTTATCTTTAAAAAAAAACGCACTTTAAAAACTAGTCAAAACACAGGGCTCCATTTAACATCAAATGCATAAGTATGTCATCTTGTCATCTGAATTAATTTTTTGAGTGCATCGTCGTTGAGTATTAAGTTTGTTGTTTTGAATTGTAAGTTTGTGAAAGAAGTGATAAAAACATCACCACAAGCAGCCGGTTTAAGAGTTGTTGCCACAGTGTGTGAACAGGCGGCAAAAAATAAATCGGCCATAAGCGAATTGCAGCGACAGACCAGAGATTACATCAAAAACAACACAAAAACAGAAATTTTGGTTTTGTTTGAGATTAACAACCTAGAAATCGTGCCACTGTATGATGCTCCACACATCCTCAAGGGAATTAGGAATAACTTGATCAAATATGACGGCTAGTTGAATGGAAAAATCGAAAAATGGACATTTTCAAAAAGCAGATTGGAAAGTGTTTCAGTCGGCTCATGAGTCAGATATGCCATATCATCTAGATTATAGACTATTTTATTCATTAAGTAATTCTCAAATAAATATATGAAAATAAAATGAATAAAATTAGTTTATGAAGTTTTGAAGCACTGCTTATTTTGAAATAATTGAAATATCAAACCAGTCATTTGAAATCGAGATTCAAACGGCCCGCCAAATATTAGTTCAATGACTACACCGCTATGGCAGCACCGTCGCAAATGTCACTTGGCGACTACAACAGAAGTGAGCTTTCTATATCAAGAATATAAATCATTTTTCTATGAATGCAACTATAATATACATTATGACAATAGGTAGGTATTGATTGTCATCAAATGTTATATGTCGAAGTTGTAATTTTCAGATGTGCCTATGATGTTGTCAGTTTAACAACAAAAATATTTAGCTCAAAACCTACCCAAATAAGCCATATCAACCTATTTTTTTTCCAATATTTTGTAATATTTTCTTTTAAACGCAAAATGCATTCACTTCGACATGCATTTTATTAATCTCAGAATACCAAAACAATTTTTATTACCCTATTGTTGTTACTAATGGTACGACATTAGTCCGCCATGAATAATTTTCTAGGTACCCATTGATAACGTATAACAAAGCATATTATGTATGAAGCTCATTGCTTTTAAAAATTATGCCGATTATCCTTATTAAAGAAATTAAATTTGTTTTACCTCTGTTAGTAAAAAATTGCGAACACTTATAAATCACGAGCGAATCACTATCAATCCACGCAAAAACGTATAGAAAATCACTCAGAAATCAAAAATGATTATCAAAAGTGCGAGCTCCACCAACTCATTTCAGATACTGAGACTGCAATGATTATTTGTTTGTTATTTTCTTAAATATATTTTTGGCATAAACATTAAATGATCATTAGCTAATGTTGTTTGGAAAAATTTATATTACTGCCAATTAGTCTATGACGATTATGAAGATTTACATATTGATCTAAACAAATTAATGATAATATTGATAAATGATTTAGATATGATAAGATAAACATCTTAAATAATTTTTATTTTTCATTATACAGAGTGAGTTTTAAGTATGGAACGTCTCAATTATCTCAAAAACGGCTAATACAATTTTCATGAATTTTGGTGTGAACGAGTATTACAATATCACCGATAATATGGTAGTATTTACATGGTTGTCAGATTTTTCGTTTTTCAGGAAATATCTGAAATTTTGTTTTTTCAAATGGATCACCCTGTATATTATGATATTTCTGGGTTCTGCGGAAAATTCTAGACACATTTCATGTGCAATGTCATATACCTATCTTCAACTGTTTCCGAATGATTGACAGTTGAAAATAGACTTTTTCACAACTTTGACAGACTGTAAAATCTAAACGGTCGATTTTACAGCAAAACCGATCATACATTTTTGTCTTAGTTTTTCATAAACTATGAGTCGACACCAACTTTGAATTTAATCCATGATTAAATAGTTCGGTTAAATTTAATCTCCGGTTAAATTCATAGTTGGTATCAAATGATAACTTATGAAAAGCTACAGACAAGAATGTCAAATAGGTTTGGCTGTAGAATTCGCCGTTTAGGTTTCACAGCCTGTCAAAGTTGCAAAAAAGTCAATTTTCAATTGTCAATATTTCCGAAACAGTCGAAGATAGGTATATAACATTGTACATGAAATATGTCTAGAATTTTCCGCAGAACCCAGAAATGTCATAATATACAGGGTGATCTACTTGAAAAACAAAGTTCCTGATATTTCTCGAAAAACGAGAGATCTGACAACCATGCAAATACTACCATATTATCGGCCATATTGCAATACTCGTTCACACCAAAATTCACAAAAATCGTGCGAGCCGTTTTCGAGCAAATTGAGACGTTCCATACTTAAAACTCACTCTGTATATTAATGAGTTTACATAAAATGGGTACTCCTGCCAATTTCCAATTATTACCCATGCAAAAATTGTTATGCTAATGTTCCGTTGATATTTTTAGTAACAAATGAAATTACGTAGGTACTTGTTTTTGACATGGACCCATCCTAATTTTTATTAAAACTTGTTTGGTGCATTTTTATATTCATTAAAAGCTTATAATTATTCAACCAGAGTTTATTTATTTAAAAACAATTATCTGCGAGGACTTTGAAGTGATCCTTTTATTAAAAGATCGTCTTTAATCTCGATTGGGATGACCTTTGAAATGTAACATATTATTATTAACTACATAATAATTTTCGATGTTTTTGTAAATTATTGGTAGTTTGGACTACAAACATGAAAATAAGATTTAGTTTAGTAAGTTCTAAACAGTAAAAAAGTGACAGATGAAGATGATTATGTCAAAGGTTTAGATTGAATCCCAGTAGGATTTAAAGTCACTTTACTTCAAATACTGTATTCTAGTGGAAGAACATAATATATCAGGAATTGAAGATTTCTCAGACCTGTGGGAAAGAATAGTGGAAAGGAAACATGTAAAATTTAGATACCTTTTGTGCTACCTATTGAGAATTACAATTATCTGAGTTATAATCTCAGATAATCACCACTCTCTCTAAGGTTATCAATGAAAAATAGAACAACAGCTTTCAAATTTAAACTGTTCCATAAAAATTATATTTTTTAGGTATGTTTGTTCGTAATAGGCGATTTAATGTCATTCCCCTGTTATAAGCAATATTCAGTGTCTACTACCTAATTAGTTTATGCATTTCGCAAATTATAATTTATACTGCTTTCGTGACCACTGATTCCAAAGTTCGTTGGATTGAATTGTTGATTAAAAGAAGTCTGGGTATTTTGTTGTATGACATACCAAACTATTGTAGATAGGTAGAGGTAGCTTATATTTTTGTTTTTTAATTGAAATAAGTCAGTGTCTCAGAACTTTTTTACAGAAATTCTTCAAACCACACACAAGTACCTACATTGGTATATTAGTGAAGCCTGGATCGAAAGTAAGACAATGACTTTACAACTTTTGGAACTATGAAAGAGTTGTCAAGTGCTAGTTTTTCTCCGAATTGCTTCTTCCTTAAAAGCTCCTGTCAATGAGTTACGTGGCTTCCCTCTTCTAATTTTTCCGAGTAATTTTGTTTTAATCATATCACAATAAAAATTACGATAATTATTCATCAAGTAAAAGATATTTATATTTAAATAGGCATGTCGGTACTCACTTTGAAACCATTGTGGATTTAAAATATTTCTGAGAATGTTATAATTATGCCGGCCTGGAACTTATAGGCCTAATTTTGTACAACGAACAAATAGAGGACCTACTATGTGCCTAACAAACCCATAACTAGTGTCAGTAGCATTAGAAATTATTAATTATAGTACTAGATATCCTAAATTGCCGCAATTCTGCCAATAATAAACTTTGTGCTTAAGTTACTTAATTGAAACAAAATTATTCTTGGTTATCTAATAAAATAAGGTACCTAATTATTTTTTTATCTAAGAAAAACAATCATCAATTAAAAAAATTACATAAACAGTAGAGAAATTATTTATTGACCTACAACGTCCGACCTTGATCAATTGACTGTCCGCTTTAACCCAAATACGTAAAAAAATAACTTACGCAAAGTCCACATACACATTCACACGCGTTTTTTTCGATAAAGTCCGACACACGCCACTGTTCCCTGTTGAATTACCCACACCAAACTAAATTGGTGAATGAGAAAATCGAAATTTATTTTTAAATCAAAATTCGAGTGATACGCGTTTCTGTTCGCGCGATCCCGCGATCATGCGCACAACAATTCGGCGGGTGATAACAATTATGTTTATAATGTTTAATAAGAGACAAATTTCCATTGACATATTATGTGTAATATTGATTTTCAATTTCTTTTTCCCCTATGCTAAGGAAAACTTCTGCTACACATTGTTGTCAGACTTTCTATAAATTTAAGCACAAAACTATGGTTTCATTATTCATCAGGCATTATTTTCTAACTACTGGTTAGTCTGTTGGTCAATAAGGCTTTGAAACTAATTAGTACAATTTATCTTGGTAGGGCAACAATTTTAGTTTAATTATAAAACCAGTTTATTTGGGTTTATTTTTATCGCCACCGTATTTTCATACAGAAAATCTACAGGTGGGTACTGTGGGTAGGACAAAAATCGAAAGTTAAGATATCTTATTGCATAGCAGTGGCGGATCTAGACTGGAGTTAAGGGGGAAGCTTCAATGTTCATGGACAGATTCGCTTTACGCGATTTTATTTTTGGAGCTATAGGTCCAAATGAGCAGGCACCTGCTGTAAGTAAGACAAATATCAAAAGGGGTGCCTCAGGGTTGTTCTCGTACACATCCTGACTTCTCTAGCTTTTTGAAATTTTGCCATTTCCATCAATATACTGATGACTTACAAATCTCTCACTGCTTCTTTACTCCAGATTCCAGATTATAAAACAGCGCAGGATCAGATTAACAAGAATCTTTAATACCTACTGTATTTGAAATATCAGAATCCCCATAGTCTAATTCTTAATGCTTTTAAGTCTCAAATCATCGTATTTGGTAAGTATCAAAGCATCGTAATTTTCTCACAAACCTCGATGATTTTGTCATTAAAATTAAGGATCAACGATTAGTTTGCTCGTTATGTAGCCCAGCTTTGGTGCTGAGGCTGTTAGACATTTCAATAATTGGTTCTTTTTCAGTTAGCTTCATCGGATTGCTGAATAATGACTTCTGTTGCTTCAATAGCTTGCTACCACTATAGTTTTTTAAGTGTGAGAACTTTCTGTCTGGTTTTGATGGAACGAGTCTTGGGAACGGTATATCTATACAAAGGTTTGTTGCGACGTTCATATATTTCATCTCCGGCACAATATGGATGTGATATGGAGTGAATTGAACTCTCCTGGCTCCTGGAAGGTTTTTGGATCGCTGTATAGTGAATTTGGAATTTCCTGTCGCTATGGATTAATTTTGAAGCGCTGTACAGTTCTCGGAGTTCACGCAAGGTCCAAAATTTTGCGCCACCACGATGCTTGACTGTGAAATTTATTTAACAGTCAACACTTATAAAAGGATTTTTTTATTGAATGACCTTTTCTTCATAGTTATTGGATTTTGTGAGATTATGACCGGTGTGAAATTAGCCTCTAAAGATAGCCTCCAAAACTTCCGGAAACTGCCGAACGGTCAGTGGCGTCGGAAATATAAGACAATACAATAACCTTAAATCTGCTCGTACTGACAGGGTCATATTTTCAGGAAAAATTGGGACAAGCATTTACTATTTTTTCACCCTAACACCAGATTCCGATGTTCTGAGATATTTTTTTTCTGGAAAAATTAACTCAAACTTCTTGATTCCAATGTCCAAAATGAAAAACACTTACCAGGTTTTTTTGAAGTTTTTTGCCATGACTTCACATAATTCTGGATTCCAGTCACAATAAGTCTTGCAGATATAAGATTAAAACTATTGGTTATTAGTGCTGCCCTGTAATAAAAAGTTTATAATTTTAGTACGGAAAGTATTATTTTCAATAATTTACCTTATACGTTTGCCAATTGTAAATTTAGGCCCAGTTTCCACACCACCCTAGAGGTACGAGCTACCGGCGCGTTTTTTTTTTGTCAAGTGCTTTCCCCGTTAGGCCTAATGCACTTTGAAATTACACTTGTACAACCAAAACCGTCAACTATCCATTAATTCAACCTTCACTTCTCAGCTAGGAAGACACCACTGCAAACACTAACCATACTTACGTTGTATATTTAGTGCAACAAATGAGGTCCAGGCAACTATGGCATAGGCTCCCCCGGGGCTTCCCTGCTTTAAAGATTCAGTCGAAACATGAACTGTTTTTCGGGAATTGACACATATGTAATTTCACCTGGAAGAGAAAAGTGATAAAAGTTTGGATCCATCATTGTCAGTCAGTTATGTGTCTAGGAAAGGGATGCCTGGAAAAAACAACTTTGGGTTAGTGAAAATTTGAATGTTTTATGTTAGAAATCACCTATTTATTCAGCTTCCAATATCCAGCAAACTTTTTTTTTAAATGTATTCAATGTTCTGGAAAGACTTGTGGAAGCAACTTATGTTCAGGAAGATGACGTTATCTTCATCTGAAACACACAAAACAGAAAAATTATTCAACTGTTAATATTCTGGAAACAACTTATGTCCAAGAAGCTGCATTGTTGAAGCTGATATTGCCTTCATCTGTAACACACAAATCAGAATTATCCAAAGAGAGCATTCAGCTGTTCCGCGTCCCTTTTGGGCTTGATGCAATATCGAAATTACATTGTACCAACACCCAACAGCATATCTGTGAATTCAACCCGCTCTCGCCCGTATGTTTTGCCGACTGCTACACATACCCGTGAGGTATATTAGTGCAACAAATGAGACCAGGGCAACTATGGCATTAGGTTCCCCGCGGCGCAGCTAGTACCGAAAAGAAGCGCTCAAACCACCAATGTTGGAGGATATTGATGAAATGGAATTTCAATTTGTTGATTGAGTGAATGAGAAGTTTACAACCAAATGCTCGATTATTATAGAGGGTGATCCAATTAGGATTTTGAAGTGAAATATAATGCACACTGTACACTTGGTAGTCCGAGGGGTGTTTCAGTAACTAAATTTTGTACACCTGCTATATTTGACTGCATTATGATTGTATTAAAGATTATAGTTGACTGCATTGAGTTTTGAGCAATATCTAACAAGATTGCAGCTTCACTCGCAGCGACTGGCTTACGATATTTCGTGAGTGTATATGGATTGTACACTACTGCATGTGACTGCACAGAATTTATGATGATTGCAAGCGACTGTTTTATGACTGCATGCAACTGTATTATGACTCCATGAGTCCATATATGCCATTGACGGCGTGAGAGTCATTATTTTTAAAACACAAGTGTAATTAGTTTGTCTTCCGAATAGAATGAAAACATTATGGCAACGCAGCAATGTCTGTGTTTTATTTCATTTCAAAATACTAAACCACTAATAGTAGAACCTCGATTATCCGAAATAACTTGGGGGGGTAGTACCATTGTAGTACTCACCTCGGATAACTGAAAACTAGGATAATCCGAATAATGCACATATATGTATTATGAAGAGTGTAGGTATTCGTGACTGGCCAGTTATAAATAGATATTATTTTCTGGGGTATCAGTCTAAGGGCTAAACAGGTCTCAGAACTTTTGTGCTACGCCTGTATATTCTAGAAACTCGGTTAATACGGAGTATGGACATGCATACCTCGGATAATCAGGATTTTAGACTGGCTCGATTAATCCAGAGCTCGGATAATTGCGACTCGGATAAACGGGGTTTTACTGTATATGCGGAAAATGTACTATTACCTTGCACTTACACACCTCAATTAGGATTTTTACCAGAAATAATGAATAGCCTATTCTACTTGATTGTGCTCAGAAGATTCTGGACTTTGTTGCGTAACGTTAGAAGGAGGCTTACATAAGAAATAGAAGTGGCACAATGGATATCCAATGAAATGCACTCATACAATTTATTTATTTTCTGGAAAACTACTGAAGCGAAAATTGTGAAACTTTCTGGGGGAAAAGAGGATAGTTAGGAGCTCATTATACTAAAATTTCAAACTTTTCCAGTGGGAAATTAATGAATATGTAAGTACTTACCTACTACTAGGCGAAGGTTCTTATTATATAGGCTCTTTAAGAGTCATCCAACGGCTTCTGGATTCTTTTTGCTTACCAAGAGGGCTCACCTGAAAAAAATAACACGGCGGCAGAAAAATTGTTCATGTATATACAGGGTGATTAACGTAGTCCGTGCATTGGATTGCAGGTGGATTAGATACACCATCTATGGTTTATTTTTTTCCAAGATAGATTTTAGCATTGTCAACTTTGAAACATAAACAATACCGCTAATGCCGCTTATTGGTCGCTATTGTAAAACTGATGTCAACCTGCAGAAACACCTCATTTTGCGACCAATCAGGGTCAAGCGTTATTGTTTATGTTTCAAAGTTTTCAATGTCAAAATCTATCTTGGGAAAAAATAAAGTGTATACTAATAATCCACCTGCATTCTGGAAAATTTCTGAAGCGGCGTTTACATTGGTATAGTAAATGAATTAGTTATTTGCACCAGTAACCTGTAAGACAGCTACTAGTTCAATGTAAACCACATAGTTAGTTTCTAGTACCAGTAGTACTTGTACCAGTGTGCTGGCTAGGAAAGTAGATAGCTTCCTGGGCTATTTAGATAGTTCTTTCAAAAGTAGGGCAGGTGTTCCTTTGGTATTCCTTCTACTAATCGACTTTCTAACCCAAATTATATTGTTCCTCCTCAAGTAGGTCATTAATTTCTTGCAATAGACAGTGGGAAACTTTTGATATACAGTTTTTCATTTGGAAAATGTTGAAAGCTACTAGTATTGGCAAAAAATATACTATGTATAAACGCCTACTATCCTGGACGTTGGGTTAGCTCATGGTAGGCTAGTTACTCGTACTAGTAGGTGGTACAAGTAACTATACCAATGTTAACGCCGCCTAATGCACGGACTACGTAAATCACGGTCTATTTGTTTGTATAAAACAACATTATTTTAAAAAAGTCACAACTCTATTAACAATAACTCAATTCAATCCCTTTGAGTTTTTAGTATTTTTTACATTAAATCAAAGTCATAACTCCATTATTAATAACTC